TATTGGTTTGAAGTACATGCTATGTATAATAGATGGCGCTGTATGTGAAAAACGATTTCCCCACTTTTCTGTTGAATTTTTCCTGAATTTTCCAGAATTTTCTTTGCTATAAACCTCACGGAGCCCAAGACCTTTCCAACGAATGCAAAACCGTGGAAATCGGTTCGTGCGTTCTCGAGTTATAGCGTCAGGGAGGAAAACCGGACTTATTTTTATATAATAGATAATATTATATATAATATATAATATATTTATGTATAGTCAATAGTATATATAGTATTACTAGAGTACTGAGGAACCAGAAGGGAGGATTGTTTCTAGAATTAAAAGGTGGTACCTACTCTAAAGTAAATTTTTTGCAAGAACTTAAGGTATATTAATGGCCCAAAAATTAACTTGTAAATAAAAGCTACAAAATTATATGATACTAGCTGATCCCGTGCACTTCGTTTCCCGTTAAATGTACCAACTCTATATGACTCAAACACTGTTCACTGCGTTATTTAATATTCGGTGTATGATGTTCTAGATTTATCTTAACTTTTCTGTTGCCCGGAATAAAAATTCTGAATTGCAGCAGTACATTATCAGATAGGTAATTTACCTGCGGTAGATCGCGGACCCCGTCAGTGCCGCATTTAGACATTTTGCGCCCTGGTGCAAAAAAAAAAATTGGCGCCCCCAAGCCCCGGTGAAAAAAAATTGCTCCTCCCACGGAAAATATGTGAGGTAGATCCTCATTACCCTTTAGATTATGAGCGAAGAAAAGAATATTTGTTTAAGAGTGCTTTTTTAAATAAATATTGTTTAGTAATTGCTTGATCCCTCCGCAAAGATATATTGGAATTTATGTCACTCAAACCTTGCTAATAATTTAGTATCATTAAGTTGTGTTTTAGATTCTGAGCGGAGCGATGAATGTATTGGTTTTACAATGATGTGTGTTTTTTTTTTTTTATATTTTTATTTTTTTTATTTTTGTGTCTGTCATCCCGTTTTAGGACAGTAAAAGTGCTTGGATTTTCTTCATCAGTAGCTTTTTTGATAGGAAAGTGAATCTAGTTGGTACTTTGGGGGGTCAAAAGTATAAATTGCCCAGTAGTTTTCACAAGCGCCGGGAAAAACATCATAAAAATTAAGGAAAAACGGGAATTTTTACGCAAAATTGGTTTTCCAAAAAATCGATTTTGGTTATTGGTGTAACTCTAAAACAAATGAACGTATATACATGAAATTTTCACTGGTTGTTTATGTTTGCATTTTCTATACACGATAAAATTTTCAAAATATTTTGATTTATTTTGAACTGTTTAGGGACAATTTCATTTTCCATTTTTTTTTAGTTTTTTTTCTAAAAATATCAATAAAATTTTATTTGTTGGTTGCAAAAGCTTTAAAATTTAATAGAAGGCTCCTAATATATTGTTTCAAAGGCAGATGAAAAATATTAAAAATCTTTAGTCACAATTTTTTTTTATAAGCATTTAAAGTTCAAAAATTGACAAAATATGGAAAAATCACGAAAATTAGCAAATTATTTTGAGTTAAGAATTCGTAAAAATTTTTCTTTTTAAATCTAAGATTTGAAAATGAAACACAAGATTCCTTATAAGATTATCTACCTTTATCAATAAAAAAATCTCTATCGGACAGTCAAATTAAATTTTATGAGCGTTTGAAATTCAAATTTTTACAACATTGGATATTCACTCGATTACTCATGTAGCGATTTCCTTATTTTGTTGCAATTCAAAAACGAACAACTGTAGATACATGAAAAATTCACTGAATGTTTATATTAGCATTTCCTATACACCATACAATTTTGAAAATATTTTGACTCTTTTGGAGCTGTTTATGGACATTTACAGCTTTCAATTTTTTTTAGTTTTTTTTTCTATAAATATCAATAAAGTTTTATCTGTTGGGCCAAAAAGTGTAAAATTTTTATACAAGGCTCCTGATATATTGTTACAATATCAGTTGAAAAATATTAAAAATACATAGGCACGATTTTTTTTTATAAGCATTTAAAGTTGGAATTTTGACAAAATTTATCAAAATCTCGAAAATTATCAATCGTTGGAATTAAAAAATTATAAAATGTTCAGTTTTATAACTAAGAGTTGAAAATTTTAAACAAAGATTCTCTTAAATAATTCATACTGTAACCAAAAAATCTAAAAAATATATAAACACACTAATTTTTTACAGACATTTTAATTTCAAATTTGGACGAAATTACATATTAAAAAACCTAGAATAACTATTTCAGTTATTTTGTTGTGATTGAATAATATTATTCGTGGGTACTTGAAACTTCTAAAGTGTACTATTATATACCTATCTATGATAGTATCACGGTTTTTGTTGATGTATAACGCGTTATAAGTATCTAATGGATATTGTGATATGATTAATTTGGAATTTATTATAGGTACCTATTATAGGTCAATTTTTTGTTTAATACCATAGATATGTATATAATATGTCTTATACATAGACTGACATACCGTCACCGCTCAGAATTTTTTTTCTTATACAATGATATTATATCATTGAATTCAAATTTAATACCATCACATAATACAGTGACCCACTTGTAACCTACTGTACAGCAGAGCGACACCCACTTGCCCACCTTTTTTTTTAAACATATTTAAGTAGGTACTTCATGGATAAATAAAATAAAATTATATAAAACTATGCAAATAAATATTTTATATTTTATTGTACATAGTATTTTATAAAATTAATGTAACTATATACAGGGCTGGCATAGGCGTGCGCACGGGAGGGGCAGGGTGGGCAGCTGCCCCTCCTGCGGGCTCAAGTTTTCTTACAAAATAACAAAGTTTTTAAAAAAATATTATAATACAGTTTTATATAATGAATATTATGTAAACATTGAGTGCTCGATGTACAGTGCACGATGATTTTATGTTGTCCAACTTTAAGCGAACCACAAGCGATACCGCGGTGATAACGAGTGCTTATAATCTTATTATAGCATGATGTAGATTGAGATGTGATGAGACATGAAAGTGAGTAGTAATTTGACGGCATTTAATGCGAAAAACGTTCACCGGAAGCGCTAAGAAGGTCGGTTCTTTAAATAATTAGTAATTAATAATTATAATAATTAGTATGCAGTATACGAACAAATATTATAGCTCTTTACTTCCGAAGCAATTTTCGGAATTTTTAGTATTTTAGTAGTTTTATGCTCAACGTGTTGATTAAATCAGAATATACCTATCTTTTTTTTTAATGTGGTGTTTTATATTGAAATTAATTTTCTATTTATACTGTAACCTACAAATCAAATTGTTTATTATATACCTAATACTATTAAATACCTATAAAGTATAATTTATAAAACAGTTTAAATAATAGGTTACATGCCTACAATAATGTATAAATTTCAATATTACCAAAGAATAGAATATTATTGATACATTAATGCATGATATAATAGTGGTACTATTTTTGGAAAAATCATGTAAATGCAATACTAAGGATTTACATTTTTTTTTAAATGTTGATATTTATATGTTCAACGTGTTGGTGCAAATAATAATTTACCTATCTTACTTACTTTTTTTGTAATTGTAAATAAATAGTAAGTAGAATTAGTAAATTCAGATTTCACCAACACATCGGGCATAAAAATATATATGAATGCAGTGGCGGATCCAGGGCTTAATTTTGGGAGGGGCATGGGGGGCTCAAAAGTATATGAAAGTTCCAAAATTGGCTAAACACAGTGTAAAACAAAGGAAAACTACGGTTATTGGGGGGGGGGCAAATGCCCCCTTTTCCATCCCCCTGGATCCACCACTGTATGAATGTAATAATTTTCTTTGTTCATGTATATTAATATAATATAAAAAAACTTTGGAGTTTCAATTACTATATTAAATTTGTAGTTATTTGTAGTTTTAATGATACATAAAATGAAAATACTTCCATCACTTACATTAATTGAACTAATAACCAAAATAATATTTACTTACCTATATATTATATAATATACCTATAGGTACATTATTACATTCTGCCCCCCCTGCCAGCAAGGTCTGCACACGCCTATGAGGGCTGGTAGTGGTGTAAGCTATTTAAAAAAAGTGACTGAATTAATTTATAAAAGTGACAAAAAAGTGACCTGCATAAATTTGTTTCATAACAACTTGTCAACTTACCAGTTATTAAACATTAATTATTTTTGAATCTCTACATACCTATAGTTTAATTGATTCTTACTTACTTAATTTTGTAGAAATTACAAAAAATAATGATTATAATAAACACAAAATTTAATAGCAAATAATTAAATAATATTACCTGTTTAAATGAATGATGTTTATAATATAGAATAATATTCAAGATCATTATTTTGGAACTTCCTTTATTTTAATCATAAGTACAAAACTATGTAATATAAAATCAATACGCCGTATTGGTATTGCCCGTATTATTATAAATAACTGATGTCTATTGACATAATCACAACAAATTTGGGAACTAGGTATATTAATAATTATCGATCGCTGTAGCTATATTGCTATAAATACATTGATTGTTTAAATAATAAATTTCAAACAGCATAATTATTATACTATAATAATATATACAATACAATTATACTAGATTATATTAAGTATATAATACTGTTATAAAAATAATTTAAAGTATACAATTTTAAAAAATCATAAGTAAAGACATTTCTGTCCACAAAATTTTCCTGGCTTTCCGAATATCTATGTTAAGTCCTTCGACTCCTTCCGGAACACTGCCGGAAAAATCAAAAACCACGCGCGCGTATACGTTTCGCGTCATACCGGCATTAGGTCGGGCGCAAATTGAGACGTAGGCGACGCAGCGCAGCGCAGCACAAGTCAGCGTAGGACCGAACTGCGTGACCCGTGTGAGCGAATATTACTACACAGTATTTCAACGCAGTTTCGTGTAGTCATTCGATGAAAACATTTGAGATCGACATGATGGCTCACGAATTATTTAAGTTAGATTTAAGTTCGGAATCCGATTCTGACGAGGAATTGGATGAACTGGTTTTATATTCTTTAATTAAACGAAAAAAGTCGCAAAATAGTGATTTTATGAAAAAAAGAAAAAGTCACGGAGAATTTGTTTTGACAACGGAATTATCTGAAAAACAATTTACTAACTACTTCCGCTTAAATAGATGTCAATTTCATGAAGTTCTCCATATTATAAAGGATACTATTTTTTCTGAAGGGTGTAATGCTCAAAGACCTATTGATCCTGAAGAAAAACTCGCTGTGTTCTTAAGGTAAGGTTTTTAAATATTTATTTAAAAATTCAAAAAAAAAAATACATACATATATTATCATAAAGTTAATTCGCATTAATTATAAAAATATATATATATTGTGTGTTTTTAATAAAATACACAATATTAAAGTAGACTTATACTTTATTTTAAATGATTGAAAAGTAGACTGTTTTTAATAACATACACAATATTAAAGTAGACTTATACTTTATTTTAAATTATTAAAAAGTACACAAAATATGATTGATAAAACCAAAAAATAAAAATGAAGTAACTCAAACTAGTTTACTCAGAAAAATTGTTAATATAATTTACCATGTCATTACTGTTTTCACAAGTTTGTGTATTCACGTAATAAGTGTCAGACGAAGAAGTTTCGTGGGAACTTAAAGAGTTCTGTTCATAACTCCACGCAGCAGTAGACCGAGGTTGCTCATGGTTTGTTTGTTGAAATGTTGTTGGAATATTCAAGAGATTAGCCTCGGCTTTTGAAACCGCTTTATATAATTCATTTTTTATGAAATATTGAGATGCTGGTGACAATTTTTGTGTAGTGTGGTACATTGACATGAAAAAATGGTACAATGGATCATTTAGGGTTTTCGAATCCTCTAACTTCTTACGTTCCAGCGCTCTCTCTTTTGCCCTTTGTTCTCGACTTGCTATTGATTGCTGGAGTAAGTTACTTATGTCATCTTTTTTTTTTTGAGTGGTTGTTTAAAACCCGATTTCTGGAACGCCAATGATGGTGTAGTATTTGTCATACCTTCAACAGAATCTTCAGTTTCGTCTACGTTTATATCATGTTCATTATTTTTGTGTACGAGTATTTCATTATCATTTTCTAATGTTGGTGCTTCTAGATCATAATTATTTTCTGATATTTGTTCTGTACCTGTTATTTCACCTTGTGTAAAATCATCTTCGTCTTCGCTATCTAGTACATTAGAACTTCGTTTTCTATTTGCCATGTACGGCAGCAAATATTCCATTTGTTTTTGGAATTTCCATTGTTTTATTATTTCAGCTGCAGCTCCACTTTTAAAGCATCTTTTCTGTCTCCGAAGAGCATCTCTGTGGCAACTTCTCAATTTCGCCCATGTGGCTTTCACAGTTTCACCTGTAATATTCCATAAATATTTTTAATTGAACGTTTGAAGTTATGTTACATTTGTATAAAACTATAGCATCTATTGTAATTTGCAAAATATATTTATTTACAGATATTTAGCATCAGGAGATAGCTATAAAAGTATTGCGTACAGTTACAGAATGAGTGATCGAACAGTTTCAAACATAGTAAATGAAGTATCCATTGCTATATGGAATACAATGCAAACATTGTATTTGCCACAACCCACAATGGAAATGTGGAAATTGATAGCTAAAGATTTCGAACAGATATGGCAATTTCCACACTGCGTTGGTGCATTGGATGGCAAGCATATCTTAATTAAGAAACCACCCAACAGTGGTTCGTCGTTTTACAATTATAAACATACCTTTTCTGTGGTTTTAATGGCTCTTGTTGACGCTCACTACAAATTCATAAGTGTTGATATTGGATCTATGGGAAGACATAGTGATTCGAACATTTTTTCGAGTGGTGCTTTGGCAAGAAAAATGAATAAACAAACTTTACAACTTCCACAACCTGCATTGTTACCCGATTACAATCAAACATTACCATTCGTATTTGTAGCAGATGAAGCATTTCCGTTATGTGATAATATCATGCGACCTTATTCAAAAAGAAACATAACGGGAAATTTTGAAAATAAAATTTTCAACTATAGACTTTCGCGAGCGCGACAAACTGTCGAATGCACTTTTGGCATATTAGCTTCACGATTTCGAGTTTTTAGAAAACCATTCGAAATTAAAATTGAAAGTGTGGATAATGTAATTAAGGCAGCTTGTGTGTTACATAATTATTTAAGAAACGAAATAACAATTTCAAATAATGTGCAAGGCGAAAGTGATATAATGCCAGACAATCAATTACTGCCATTAAGTAACAACAACAGTAGAAGTGGGTCAAGTGCTTTTTTGGTGAGGAAAAAGTTTACGGATTATTTCAATACAGAAGGAAGCGTACCTTGGCAAAATGATAGTGTTTTTAGAGGTAAATACTAACTAATTTTGTACATAACGTGTTAAATAAATATAAATTTTGTGAAAAATGTTTATTTGTGTTATATTTATTTTTTTTATTTTATTTTATTTACGCCAAACGGCAATTACGAAAAGTATATAACAAGAGTAGAACAGTAACAATATTACAATATACAGTTTAAAATTAGACTAGTTTACAAAATTCATTATTAGAATATATTTAATTCGTCTATCCATCTATTTATATATTTTCTTGAATCGTTATAATAATATTTCTAGTTGGTGTAGTAAAATTAAATTTGCGATAAGAAAATATGTAAAAATAGTCATCAATTTAATTATATAAATAATTGAAGTGACTAGTTAATGTCACAAGTATACGATATAATATTATTGTAATATATAACAGTGTATTATTATCATATAATATATTTTATAATATAATTATGATGAATTTTATAGAAATGTTATATGAGATTATGCCATTAACCTAACCTATGACAATAAAATAAATATTTAATATAATAAATTATTCTTACCATTTTTAAATTTCAATTCATTAGCAATATTTTCCCATATATTATTTTTCAATTTTGCCTTCATGTAGTCAGGATGGCTAGTGTCAAATAAGACGCTGTATTGTCGAACTGCTTCAATTAGTTTTTCTTCCATAATATATAAAAAAATTTGAATTCAAAGTCGAAAGTTGAAAAACTGCGCTACACATTCGCAGGAAACTGTGTCATAAACACTGTGCGACGCAGACTGACGTAGGAGCAGTACTGTGCTGCCCTACCCTGCAACTTAATTTACGCTCGTCTGTTCAAACCAGTAGATCACAAAAACTGTGCTGCGCTGTGCTATGCTGCACTGCGTCACCTACGTCTCAATTTGCGCCCGACCTTAGTCACCTGGCGCTTTCGTTTACTAAGTATGGTTACTTAGAAAGCCCGGTGGTTCTTGGAATTTATCTCGTCGGGTAGTAAATTTTCCTGGCTTTCCGAATATCTATGTTAGGACCTTCGACTCCTTCAAGAACACTGCCGGAAAAATCAAAAACCACGCGCGCGTATACGTTTCGCGTCATACCGGCATTAGTCACCTGGCGCTTTCGTTTACTAAATACGGTTACTTAGAAAGCCCGGTGGTTCTTGGAATTTATCTCGTCGGGTAGTAAATTTTCCTGGCTTTCCGAATATCTATGTTAGGACCTTCGACTCCTTCCGGAACACTGCCGGAAAAATCAAAAACCACGCGCGCGTATACGTTTCGCGTCATACCGGCATTAGTCACCTGGCGCTTTCGTTTACTAAGTACGGTTACTTAAAAAGCCCGGTGGTTCTTGGAATTTATCTCGTCGGGTAGTAAATTTTCCTGGCTTTCCGAATATCTATGTTAAGTCCTTCGACTCCTTCCGGAACACTGCCGGAAAAATCAAAAACCACGCGCGCGTATACGTTTCGCGTCATACCGGCATTAGTCACCTGGCGCTTTCGTTTACTAAGTACGGTTACTTAAAAAGCCCAGTGGTTCTTGGAATTTATCTCGTCGGGTAGTAAATTTTCCTGGCTTTCCGAATATCTATGTTAAGTCTTTCGACTCCTTCCGGAACACTTCGGGAAAAATCAAAAACCGCGCGCGCGTATACGTTTCGGGTCATACCGGCATTAGTCCCCTGGCGTTTTCGTTTACTATGTACGGTTACTTAGAAAGCCCGGTGGTTCTTGGAATTTATCTCGTCGGGTAGTAAATTTTCCTGGCTTTCCGAATATCTATGTTAAGTCCTTCGACTCCTTCCGGAACACTGCCGGAAAAATCAAAAACTGCGCGCGCGTATACGTTTCGCGTCATACCGGCATTAGTCACCTGGCGCTTTCGTTTACTATGTACGGTTACTTAGAAAGCCCGGTGGTTCTTGGAATTTATCTCGTCGGGTAGTAAATTTTCCTGGCTTTCCGAATATCTATGTTAGGACCTTCGACTCCTTCAAGAACACTGCCGGAAAAATCAAAAACCACGCGCGCGTATACGTTTCGCGTCATACCGGCATTAGTCACCTGGCGCTTTCGTTTACTAAGTACGGTTACTTAAAAAGCCCGGTGGTTCTTGGAATTTATCTCGTCGGGTAGTAAATTTTCCTGGCTTTCCGAATATCTATGTTAAGTCCTTCGACTCCTTCCGGAACACTGCCGGAAAAATCAAAAACCACGCGCGCGTATACGTTTCGCGTCATACCGGCATTAGTCACCTGGCGCTTTCGTTTACTAAGTACGGTTACTTAAAAAGCCCAGTGGTTCTTGGAATTTATCTCGTCGGGTAGTAAATTTTCCTGGCTTTCCGAATATCTATGTTAAGTCCTTCGACTCCTTCCGGAACACCGCCGGAAAAATCAAAAACCACGCGCGCGTATACGTTTCGCGTCATACCGGCATTAGTCACCTGGCGCTTTCGTTTACTAAGTACGGTTACTTAGAAAGCCCGGTGGTTCTTGGAATTTATCTCGTCGGGTAGTAAATTTTCCTGGCTTTCCGAATATCTATGTTAAGTCTTTCGACTCCTTCCGGAACACTTCGGGAAAAATCAAAAACCGCGCGCGCGTATACGTTTCGGGTCATACCGGCATTAGTCCCCTGGCGTTTTCGTTTACTATGTACGGTTACTTAGAAAGCCCGGTGGTTCTTGGAATTTATCTCGTCGGGTAGTAAATTTTCCTGGCTTTCCGAATATCTATGTTAAGTCCTTCGACTCCTTCCGGAACACTGCCGGAAAAATCAAAAACTGCGCGCGCGTATACGTTTCGCGTCATACCGGCATTAGTCACCTGGCGCTTTCGTTTACTATGTACGGTTACTTAGAAAGCCCGGTGGTTCTTGGAATTTATCTCGT